TAAGTACCTTCTCCAGGGTCCCACAACTAACAAGGGGCAGAGCCAGAAGCCAAGATGCTCTCACCGGACAAGAAACCTACGACCAAGACCAGCTCAGGGGCTGAAGATGCAGCAGCCGGGAGGGGGCCGGCTAGGGGCGGGGAGCCAGCGCGCCTCTGCTGCAGCCCCAGTCAGGAACCCTCCTACCGCCCCTGCGTTCTTGGCACTGGCTCTGGGTGGGCAGGAGAGATGCAGCCTGGGCAGGATGAGCCTGGTCGCTAGGCTCCTGCCTGCCGGACCCCAGAAGCTGGCAAAGATCCGACGATCCCGAACCAGAAACGGTCTGGAGAAGCAGACTAGTACTTCTTCGCCGGCTGAGTTACCCTGGTGGGAGAGGGCACCTCCCAGGGGAGGGACGTGGCCGGGCACCTCCAGATTGCTCACCCCACGGGGCTTTTCATTTCTCTGTGCCTGTTTCACTAAGAAGTGGAACAGCGTGCACAGCCCCTGGCGCTGCACACGGGACTGGGCGATGCAGCCACACCTGCCTCTGAGGTCCTCCAGCAGGGACTCCCACCATCCGCCCGCTAAGGTCCCCGACGCGCTGCGCATGCGCCCCACAGAAGCCTCGCAGCCCCGCCCCCCGCCTCATCAGCCCGCTGGACCACTGGAGTAGCGCGGACGCTGCCTTGCGCAGCGCTGCCCTCTCTTGGTGCCGGCGCGCCAGTGCGCTTCGGTCTCCATTCTGGGATTTCTGGTTTCCCAAACCCCGGATGCTCTGCACTTGGAAAAACCTTCGGAGGTCTGGCCCAGCCCCCCTTTTCCAGGAACCAGAAAGGGGAGAGGGGAAGAAGGTCTCACTCAGTCCATGTGTCTGACTGTCCAGAGGCAGAAATGCAGACCACCAAAGTAGAGCGAAGGGTATGTGAAGGTCTGTGTGCGAGGCAGGGCGTTCTTCGTTCAAAGGAGAGGTTCTAGCACAAGGCAGAGGGCGCTCTCCTTCCCACTGGTAACACCCGCCTCCCTCCTGCCCAACCGCCCACAGTCCTGCCAGGATCCTGCACGTCCCTGGTTCTACCCCCCTGACCAGGGATGTCTCACCGACCAGTTGTCCCTCCCTGCACTGTGGGGTCACTTCTGAGTGGGGCATGTGCATTTGCAGACATCTACATGCACACACACACCATGAACACATGCTCACACATGTCACATACCACACAAATGCAGACACACACACACACCACGTACATACACATGCACACATCACACACATACACACATGTGCATACGCCTACATGCACACTCCATGTACATATATGTGCACGTCACGCACCACGCATAGACTCTTACATGCACACACCATGTACATATGCATGCACGTCACACACCACACACATGCAGGTTCCTATGTGTACACACATGTTCCTGCTTGCCCTCCTCAGCACCCCCCACAGTGGCATAATGTGTGTTTCTGTAGCGAGCCCTGAGCCCAACACATACACACATACCACACACATGTACAGGCCCATGTACACATGCTGGCACATGTACACAAATACACATGCATACACACACCACACACACCACACACACACACACAAATATACACATGCATGCATATGTGCACACATACGCACATGGACATGCACACACACGCTCTCCTGGGTTGGTGTGGTGTCTGAATGTTGCTCTCAGAGCTAGGTGGTCCCCATGTGCAGCCAGGGTTAGGAGCCAGGGCTTTAGGTGGTGGCCCTAAATCGTGACCTTGCATCCGCTCAGCATCACCTGAGACATGTCAGAAATGCAGATTTCCAGGTCCTGTGAGCACCTGAATTAGAATTCTGAGGGTGGAGCAGATGGCGATCTGCATTTTATGAGGCCCTCCAGGGACTCAGAGGACAGGTGAAGGGGATGCAGGCCCTTGCTGAGAGCTGCCCACACCTGGATGCTGAAGTGTGCTGGGGACCAGTAGCAGCTTTGGAAGCTTGTTAGAAATGCAGAGTTCCAGGCCCCCCTGCTGAATCAGACCTGCATTTAACAGCTCCCTGGGCGATTCTTAAAGTTTGAAAATCATTGCTCTGGGGGTTCCCACTGAGCTAGAGCAGTACAGCAAGAGGCCAAGTGTGCAAATCCCCTCCTGGTTGTTCCAGGTGGGCTTTGTGAACCAGGGAGATGGGGTTTGGGGAGGGAGAAGCAGCAAGGACTCCTCTATGGCCTTCTGCCTAGGGCCCAGGAAGCTGCATGCCCCAGGTCAGCGAGGAATGTGGCCTGAAGAGCTCAGGGGAAGGGGAAGTGTATGGTGGCAGTGGCTGGCGAGCTGGGTAGGGAGGGCCTGGGGGAATCTTCCTGGGAGGTAGGACAGAGTGATGGTCTACAGGGAGATACTGGTAGTGTCAGGTTTTGTTCAACCTTTTTCCTTACATGAGAGTAGCAAATTGAGGAAAATAACTAGACCCAGAAAGAAGAAAAGATCTATCTCCTGAGGTCCACTATCCAGCACCCTCACTGCTTTATTACTTCTAGGCCTTTCCTGTGTATGCTCCTTTATTTTAAAGGCGGTTATCATGATACAGCACCTGTCATTTCACTTTTTCTAACATCCTAGGCTAATTTTCACATTGTCTTCAGACGTGTGGTACTAACAGCACTTTCTGGAGGTCCCTTCACCGTAAGATGCTGGAGTGCAGGTGTGGAAGGGTCCAGACACAGGAGGTCCCAGCCCACTGATGACCATGGGGCTGTGTGTCCCCATGTGCTTGCCCTCCTCAGCACCCCCCACAGTGGCATAATTTGTGTTTCTGTAGCAAGATCTGAGCCCAACAACACTCCCTGACCCTGTTGGACAAGTGTTGCTGCTGGGGGAGAGGCCCAGGTGGCAAACACAGTCAGGGTGGAGCATTCCCAGCGGTGGGAGACCAGAAAACCTCAGTGGTCCCATTCCCCATGGTTAAAGGGATGCTGCAGTCCACCAGATGCAAAAGGGGGTGGAGGACAGGGAGAGCTGAGAAAGGGAAGGAGGGAGGGGGAGGGGGACAAGGCATGTGGTACACCTTTTGGGGGGCGGGATGCAATTATAAGAGGGTCCTTATCTAACAAAAGCCATCAATGCAACCTGGTTCTGTGTGCCCTCAATGAATCCCCAACAATAAAAAAAAAAAAAAAGAGGGAGAGAGCTGCCAAGCCAAGTGCCCATAGAGGGCGCTGTTGCTACGTGGAAATATGGACCGTGGGGTGGTTTGGCAGCTCCTCAGCATTCTGGAGAATGTGGAAATTCAGAGCTTAAAGTTCCCAGCTCAGGAGGCAGATGAGGAACAAGAAAGTTGCAAGGGGGGCCGACTGTCCCCTCATAGCTGGGGTTTCAGAGGCCTCTCCCCACCCTAACAGATCGGGAGCTCCCTACTCTTAGACTGTTGGTGCAAACTGAGGTTCCCGCTGAGTGCCTGCTTTCGCTGGCACCAGGCAGAGGGTGCTGTGGGACCCAGCGGCCTTGGGCACTGAGTATCCGAATGGCTCCCCGGGCCAGCAGCATATCCATGTCCTCACACTCATTGCTCATCGTGTGTCCTATGGGACTCCCCGGGGGGAGGGGACTCTGGAAGCTGGCGCCTCGGTCCCCCTTGACCCTGTCCCAGGCACCTTTCCCTCTGCTCATTCTGCTCTGTGCCTTCTGCTGTGATAAATCTGAGCTGTGAGTAAACTGTCCATGGAGTCCTGTGCTGATCATCGGCCTGGGGTGATCTTGGGGACCTTGGACACCACTGCCCTAGAGACTCCATTTCCTTCTGTAGCCCTTGAATCGAGATTTCTGAAAAGGGAACCTGAAGCCTAACCTGGCAGGGGGGCTGGATTAATCGACAACTTCTCTGGGCATCTTTTGTGAAATTTAGGGCACTTGCTTGAGAAAGAATGAGTCCTTTGTCCTTTGGATGGAGACATGTGGGCAGACTGTGATGAAGGTGGGGGCCTCGGACCCTGGGACCACAGGACACGTGGGTGAGGAAGTTCCCAGTGTCCTTCAGATGTCCCAGGGTGACCAGGAACAATGTGGAGAATGCCACCCTGGACATGATCCCTGAATCCAGTGGGGTGATAGGACCCCAAGGGGCAGGGCCACAAGGCTGGCCTTACTGCAGAGGCAAGGTATGCACAGGGGCCATCATGGTCAGGGGGCCATGGCATAATGAGATCAGTCCAACCCTTGGAGCTGGCTGCTGATGTCACGGGGGCTGGGACTGTCTCCTTCCCAACCACAGGCTTAGGCTTTTCTTTCTTTCTTTCCTTCCTTTCTTCCTTTCCTCCCTCCCTCTCTTCCTCCCTCTTTCTTTCTTTCTGCACCCTATTCCTTGAGCCACAGGCACTGCTCCTCCACCCTCCAGGCCCTTTTCATAGGGAGGAAATCTCTGCCAGCCCCAACATCACACAGAATGTCTCTCCTCAAGGAGAGAAAATTGGGTTTATTTCAAGTACCAATGCTGAAATCAGCCCTAAACACTTTAGAAATGATATGTGTAAAGATGTTTTTCTCTCCATTTGATCTTTGGATCTGATTCCCAAAGCTGATCCTCTGTGTGTGCCAGCAGGGCACAGAGGCCCACAGTCCTCCATGGGGGATGAAATATTCAGTCTGACGGGTCACGCAGGTGACGCTTCCTGCCTCATCTCCAGTCTGGGTATAAAGAGACTCCTGAGAGCCCGCAGCAGGCCCATCCAGGCTGGCGGCTGGGCTGAGCGGACAGGGCGCAAGGTAACTCAGAGGGATCAGACGGCACCCTTGGCCAGAGAGGGTGGGAAGTGAGCACAATTTCTTAATAGTAAGAGTTAAATAAGGCCAATTGAGGGGGGGGATTTCACCTCTGAAAGATGGTTTAAACCACTGGCATTGAAAGAGCTATGAAAACAGTAAGAAAATTTTTTTTCCCAGCACTATTTTCCCAAGTGCTGCCCACCTTGGGACTGGGGTAGGGGTCTTGCCTATCCTGGCTTCCTCCTGCTGTAGGTGGACCCACATGTGCCAGGGGAAGATGGGAGCCTGTGCAATTCTGGGGCTGGCCCTCTGCCTCCTGCTGGGGCCGCTTGTAGGTGAGGACTGCCAGGCGTGGCCCCCAGCAGCCCTCTGTGCCCTTCCCTCCCCTGAGTCCTGCATGTGGTGTGGGGTGGGCCTGGGAGTGACCTGGCTGCCCTTCTCGGGAGCATGGGCCGACCTCGCTGATGGCTCTTATTTCCCTCTGCAGGGGCCAAGCCTGTACAGGAGCAGGGAGGTACTGTCCTTTATTTCCTTCCATTCCTGTCCATAACTGGTGCTCTGGGAAGGGTGGGACAGACCTTACAGGGAGGGCAGTGGCTGCTTCTTCCATGCAGACACATGGGGAGCTAGGCTCAGCTCAGCCTGAGCACACAAAACGTGGCCCTCTTGTCTGGCCCTAAGCTGTCCAGACACAAGGGCTGTGAGTATCTCTGGGCCTGGACCCTGCCCTCGAGCAACCCAGGGAGATTCTGCATAGGAAGGCAGGGCCCTGACCACCCCCTGACATTCCCACCCTTAGACCCAGGCCCCAGCCCCCAGGCCCTCCTGCCTAGTCCTAAGTCAGTCTAGAATCGTTAGGGCTGTCCTCACCTGTTCTCTGGGACTGGAGTTTGCTCTGAAATCCCATCAGGAGGTGGCCAGGGCCCCTGAGCCCCACTGCACAGTTCCCTGCCTGCTCAGGACCCCCAGACTAGAACACCCATGTCCTTCCTCCCCCCTCCTCAGTTCCCCAGGTCAGGTGTCCCTGAAGGCCTAGGTCATTGCCCTACTGATGCTGAGGACATCCCAGGCTGCATCCCTGAGCCAGGAAAGGCCCATCACTGCAGGCACAGCCGGGTACCACCCACTTGCCCTGGGGCCTCCATGGACCCTGTCTCCAGGCAGGACAGCAGGCACAGCCCTGAGGCAGGTGCTGTGTGTCTTTCAGACCCCTACGCAGAGCTGCCGGCCATGCCCTACTGGCCTTTCTCCACCTCTGACTTCTGGAACTATGTGGAATACTTCCAGACCCTGGGGGCCTACCCCCAGCTAGAGGACATGGCCCGCACCTTCTTTGCCCACTTCCCCCTGGGGACCACCCTGGGCTTCCATGTCCCCTATCAGGAGGACTGAGCAGCGTCCAGCCTGGGGCCTGCCTTCCCTGTCTGCACTTGGCCAGGCCTTGGGGCAGAACCAGGGTCACCCAGGAGCCACGGTCCTGGGAAGGGGGGAGTTTGGGCCTGGCCTTGCATCAATAAACTGACTGAAGATGCATAAGGAATGCCTGTGGGTTGTCTTTTGAGAAACTGCTGTGCCATCGACTCTACTTGACAAACTGAGCTGGTTTGACTGCTTGTGATCACTTACATCTCTGTCTATACACGTGAAGCTCAACCATGCTTGGGGCTAGCCCTTCAGGTGTCACTTTGTCATGTAACTCTCACAGTGCCCAGAGGGTGGCCTGCAAGTCTCCAGATTATGCGAGAGAGGAAACCGAGGCAGAGACACCAGGTCACTGCCTGACTTGAGAGCCTACAGCTGGGTAGAGGGGAGACAGATACCATCCCAGGTGGCCATGCCTAGGCTGGGCAGCCAGCTTCACACCAGAGCATGCCCAAGAGTAGTACCCATGGGCAGCAGAAGTGAGAGGCCCATGTGTGAGGAGCCAGGGGCTGGTGTGCTTGGTCTCTCAGGACAAGGCTTGAGGTTGCTCGAAGGAGGCTTTGTGGGCACTTTGAGGGATGGAGGGTGAGCGGGCAGCATGGACAGAGCCTCAGGGACTGTTCTCAATGGTGGGACAGCCTCTGCACAGGTAGTGAGTCCCCAGCCCCCAAAGAATGCAAGTGGACACTGGAGAGCCTCTGCCCTACTAGCTGGGAAGAGCTGGATTTGGGGACCACACCTCCCGGTCACCAGCGAGTCCCAGCCTCATGGGTCAGACTTCCACTTGGGCGCTTCGGGGTGACATGCATCAGTGTGGGTCAGAGGCTCAGTCACACACTTGGCACTGCTTCTACCTGTACCCTGTGCTGTCCATGCGGCTGGGCGGCCTCTGCCTGGACCACCCCTCTGTCACATCTCAGCTTGGTGCCATCTTCCTGGACCCACATCCCTTCCCTAGTGGCCCAACCCCAAGCCAACCTACTTTTAAAACATGTTAAAGAAAAAATTATCCAAAAATTAACATTCTTTGGTAAAGGGCATGCAGTAGACTTTATTCAGAACCATTGTGCTAGGCACAGAGACCATGCAATGGGGTCATGCACTAGGGGCAGAGACTCCGGTAGGTGGAAAGCAAAGGGCAGGGAGGGTCTGTTGAGGGAAATCACTGATACTAACTTCAGGGTTAGGGAGTTCTGGCCAAAGGCAGGCAGGATGGTAGACACCACCTGGGCAGATGTTAGGGGAAGGCTAAATGGGGCTCTTTTTTTTTTTTTTAAGAGACAGAGTCTCACTTTGTCACCCTCTACACTTGGTAGAGTGCCATGGCGTCACAGCTCACAGCAACCTCCAGCTCTTGGGCTTAGGTGATTCTCTTGCCACAGCCTCCCAAGCAGCTGGGACTACAGGCACTGGCCACAATGCCCAGCTATTTTTTGTTGTTGTTGTTGCAGTTTGGCCGGGGCTGGGTTTGAACCCACCACCCTCAGTATATGGGCTGGTGCCTACTCACTGAGCCACAGGCGCCCCCCCTAAACGGGGCTCTTTGATAAACTGGACTTTACAAAATTGGGCACAGATAGGCTTAGGAGGAGGCTCAGGAGCCTAACTGAGGTTTGGTCAAGCAAAGAATCTTTGACAAAGTCTAGCTCAAGTTCTTCCCTCTCTCCTTCCCTTTTCTTCCTCCCCTCTTTTCTCTCATTCACATTTTTTTAATCATGGCAAACTATGACATAAAATCGACCACTTAACCATTTTTAGGTGGTAGCATCGAGTACACTTGCTTCGTTGTGTAACCATCCCCACCATCCATCTCCAGAAAGTCTTCATCTTCCCTAAACTGAAGCCTCCTCCCCTCCAAATGCTAACTCCCAATTCCCCGGCACCCCCCTACCATCTGCCCCTGTGATCTCGACAACTCTAGGGGCCTCATGCAAGTGGAGGCACACGGTGTTGTCTTTTTGGGACAGGTTTATTTTATCTAGCATAGCGTGCTCAAGGCTTGGCTTTGTTAAAGCACGTGACAGATTTCCTTCCTATGGAGGGCTCAGTACTATCCATTGTACGGGAAGACCACATTTTGCCTGTCCGTTCGCCCCTCCTCGGCCACTGGGCTTGTTTCACCTGCTGGCCACTGTAAGTCTCGTTGCCACGGACACGGTGTGCTATGTCCCTTCAAGTCTCTGCTTCAGTGCTTCTGAAACTGCGGGATCCACAGGCGGTTCCACGTTTAGCTCCGGAGGTGCCTGGAGCGGCTCCTCGCGGCAGCGGCACCGCCGACACCCACCGGCGAGCGGCAGAGCGCGCCTGCACTTCCCGCCGACGCTCCCTGCCGGGCAGACCCTCGCGCGGCCGGGCCACCGGGTCGCGGGGACTCCGGCCAGCGCGGTCTCCACCCGCATTTCCAGGACCAACTGCGGCTCTTCCCTCGCTCGCCGGCCTCTGTGAGTCCTGCCAGAAGAAACGTCTGCTCAGGCCCCGGCTGGGTTTTTTCCCGAGTTTTCTGCAGTTCTCCCTGGACTCCGGATGCTGACCCCGTACTAGGGTCTTTGCAGGTATTTCCCGCGTTCCCCGGACGCCGGCCGACAGCGACACCACAGAGTCCGCGGTCCTCCGGCGTCTAGACCTGCCGCGGCCGGCGCACCGGAAGCTGCTCCGCGGCCGGAAGTAGTCTTATAGCGCCGCGGGCCGAGATGAAGCCGGCGGTGGACGAGATGTTTCCCGAAGGCGCCGGGCCCTACGTGGACCTGGACGAAGTAAGGCGGCCGTGGGGCCGGGGGGCCGGGGGGCCGGGCGGCCGGCTCCTGGAATGGGAGCGAGTCGGAGGAGCTGACGGACAGCGGACCCCGGGGTGCGCAGCGCACGCCCCTCCGTGCCCACGGACGAGACCTAGGACCCCTCCAGGGATCTGGGGAAGAGCCGCGGCCGTAAGGCCGGGAAGCGTGTAGCGCCGTCCAGTTTCCGCAGCCTGCGGCGCGAGGGGCCGGGCCGCACGTGCCCACGCACATCGAGGGCGAGGCGTCCCGTGCCCCCAGCCCAGGGCCCTGCGAAGTCCAGCCTGGCTGGCCGGGTGCCGGGTCCCAGGCGTGGCAAAGAGCTGTCAGTGCCCTCCGGCTCCGGGGCCGCCGGGAGCGCGCCGGTAGTGGAATAAGTGGAGTTTACTGCTCCTCTGACGGAGGCAGCGCACCCCGGGAAGCATGGCTTCTCCATGAACAGGAGTTAGGAATGACTTGTCACAGGTTTGGAGCGGTTTAGCGAGGAAAGTGGGCTTTGCTGTGGGCCAAGTGCTGTCGGGAAGCGCGGTGGTTCTCTCTGATTGGGCCTCTTTACTCCATCTCTGCTGGAACGAGAGTAGAGCAAGGCTGAAAACTGTTCCCTGTAAGGAAACCCCTGTCAGCCATCATAGCTATTGGGGGCGGTTGGGTGTTGGCATTTTTGTGCTTGGCACAGTGACTTTGTTCTTTTCTGTAATTATACAGGGTCATGAAGTGGTCTGGTTTTGTTGGCCAGACTCCGTCACGGTCGCAGAGCAACCATGTCTGATGTGTGGGTGTCCTGTGAGATGGTTTAAATTTGTGGGTGAAACACTACACCCTAGTGGGGCGTCTCAGGCCAGCTCCTGGATGTCAGGGCCTCTTTCTCAACACTCAGGGGATACAAAGATGGTCAGATGTAGGCCCTGTCCTTGTGAAGGTTCTGGTGTGGTAGAGAGAGGACAGTGGCAAATATGAAGTATATTGAGGAGCAGGAAGGGGAGAACCCGCGGGACTTTGGGAGGCTCAGAAGGCTGGAGGACTTGTTGGTGTTTGCCAAGAACATAGGGGTGAGGAGAAAGGCTGGACATGAGCAGAGTCCTGGGGGGTGGTGCTGACTGGTGCACCAAGGGAGAGATCATCAAGGGAGTTTGATGTGGGGGAGCTGGCAGTACCAGAGAAAGGAGAGGGAATGGGCAGGGCGGCATCCTGGAGACATGCTGGAGTGGGGGTGCTCTGGGCATCCACACCTGAAGCACCCCCACCATAGCCAGTCTTCTCTGTCCTGTTTTAAAGTTACTGCCTTGGGTGATGTGGACCCACCAGAGGCCTTCATAGTGGAGAGGGACAGGCGCTGATTTGCTTTGTAGAGTGGTCACTTTGGGAGGTGACCTGTAGGGAGGATTGGGTTTGGTGTGAGAGAGTAGAAAGATGGGAACAGGAACTTGAAGAGGGTCTGAATGAGGCAGATGGAAGTAGGGATGAAGTCACCCCAGAATTTGAGTGTAGAATCTGCATGGCTTGCTATGGTGATGGGGACAGGGGATGAGGCTGAGCATCCTGGGTTTTCTCTGGGATTGCAGAGGGCAGCCATGACAAGGAACACAGGCAGTGCTCGGCAAGTGCCCAGTCCCCTTCGAGGTCTGGGGATGGTTTGAGCAAGCAGCCTTGGGAACATGAGAGCCAGAGCAGCAGTGAGGACCAGGGTGCTGCCATCAGAGGACTCTGCTCCGCTTGTCACTGGGTGACTCTACACTTCATTGAAAATCCTGAGTGCAGCAGATTACCCCACTTTGGTTGTGGTGTGGTTTAGAAAGTCCCACGTTGGCAGCTCTCCCCAGCACCTCGGGGTCAGGGAAGGGCACTTTCCCAAGAAACATGGTTTAGTTCTCAGAAGAAAGCATGGAGGAATCCAGAGCAGAGAAACGGGTCAGCCTGGGTTGACACACTTGAGGCCTCTGGTGATGTCCAGGAGGGGACTGGGAACCACTTCTTGAAGTCTACAAAAACGTAGCGGTGCTTAGGGCAACAGCAGATTTCTTTTTAAAAGGTGAGGAGGAATCAAGGGACACATGACCTTGAGAGACCTTAAAAATATTTCCTTCAGGGTCCCCCACCCCCAACACACACACACACACTATTCCTTTGTAACAAAAATTTTGACTTCAACTTGAGCCCTTTTCCATCACCTGACTTCCGGTTCCTGGACTCTGCAATGGGCCTGACCCTGTTTTCTCCGAAGCAGCTGACATAACCATGCCTTTCTGTCCTGCAGGCGGGAGGCAGCACTGGGCTCCTAATGGACTTGGCCGCCAATGAAAAGGCAGTTCATGCAGACTTTTTTAATGGTAAGGATGCAGGGTTGGTGATCTGAATGTTTCTTCCACAGGTTAGGGCAGCCAAACGAGTTTGTGACATGAATAATTTGGATCAAAGGACAATAAAGCCTGGTGCCAATGTGCCACTGTCAGAATGCAGCATAGTGGTATGTGTGATGGCAGTGGCCATGAGCACTGGCCATCAGCCCTGCTTCTCAGAAGAAAAGTAGCATGAAATTGCCTGTGTCCCGCATCCCAGTGTCGAACCTGAGCTCTGCCGCAGCGTTGGCACCGCCTTCAGCCTGAGGCTGTAGCAGTCCCAGTCTGGCCACCTGTCTGTGCTCTCACCCCACGCTCTTCAGATGGTGCCTCACCTGCCTTTCCCCACTATGAATCCTATGCCCTCAGTTACCTTTGAAGAGTTACAGCCGCTTGGGCCCCTGCCGGCCCCATCCCCTGAACTCGGGACATAGGACGTGTTTCCCTCTCACATCCAAGGGCTTTAATGCCAAATAAGCAGTCAAGGCTGACCTTATATAAAACACGTAAAGTCTTTGGATGGGGGGATTTCTGTTGTTCTCTGGCGGTGTGTTAAGGCCTTCTCCTTTGGTTTATCTTAGCCCTTCCTAAGGGTTCCAAGAAGTAGAAATAGAAGCTGGACTTCTTACTCGGGGGAGGTGTGTGGTATTTTTCTCCCTTTTCATCCCCCTAGAATCCTTGGGGCCCCGCAGGAGCTTCTGAAGCCACTGGGATGTCATCCTGCCATGCTGGCTTCTGACTTAGCAAAGGCCCCCTGGAATCTGTGCCTTTATCTGCTGATTGTCAGCCAGTCCTGAGGAAGAAGCCAGGCAGCTGAACTGGGTACAGGCTTCCTGGCGGCCACATCCTGCCTGAACTCTTTGTGCAGGGGCGTTGCCATCAGAGAAAACAAACAGAAAATGGGCTCTGCGGTGGCCCTGAAGCTGCCTCCTGTGACAGGGCTGTGTGGTCACTGATGCCAGCACAGTGGGGTGCTGTCCTTCGGAGTCCCTTCATCCCCTGCCAGCCCCTGGGTTCAGAGGTGGTAGGCTGTGCCCTCATGCTCGGGTCCGCGTGATTTCTAAGAGCAGCCCTCCAGTTCTGCGGAGAAAGCACCTCTGAGGGGTCTGGGGCCTGACCTGCCAAGTGGGCACCTGGAAATGTGGGCAGCGTAGCTGTGCTTCTTCATAGCACAGCTGGCAGGGCAGGGACATGGGGGAGCGGCACGGCCCTTCTGTGCACCCGCCAACCACGTCCACAAGGCATACGCTACCCTGGTTGGGAGGTGGCGTCGCCCATGTCCAGGAAAGCGCTTACTGTGAGAGCTGTGTGGGCTTTGTAGGACATTTGCCAAGTTCTTTTGCTGATCAGATGGGTGGGTTTGATGAGCTGTTAGACCCTGGACAGTGGGGTTTTAACCACCAGCAAACCTTTTATCTCACTGTGTTCTACAAAATAGCAGCGGGTCTAGGCAAGTCAGCCAGCAGGGACACTGTCATGATGAGCCCTGACGGGGTGGCTGGGACTGTCTCTAGGGACACTTTGCAAGAGAAGATTTTCTGGAGATGACATCAGGGCAGAGGCTCGAAGGGTGTGAGGGGTCATCCAGGGATAGGGACTGGCTGTGCCCAGAGCACAGCATCACGCAGTGGTCAGGAGTGGGGTGGGTGTGGAGCTCTTCAGTGTGGCTGGGACAGCTGGGACCCTTTGCAGTGGCCACAGGTGCATTGGGGTCATGGCCTGCTGCCCCCTCACTCTGCCTAGCCATGGAGTAGTTGAATGTCTTCTAGTTCATGATCATACTTTACATTTTCAATGCACACTAGTGGGTTTTAGATTTTGTCGTCTCCCACTGAGAAGAAAATACTTGACCATGGTAGGGAGTTTGGAAAATTATGAAAGTAGGCTCGGTGCTTATAGCTCAACCAGCTAAGGCGCCAGCCACGTACACCTAAGGTGGCGGGTTCGAATCCCCAGCTTGGACCCGCCAAACAACAATGACGGCTACAACCAAAAAATAGCTGAGCGTTGTGGCGGGCTCCTGTGGTCCCAGCTACTTGGGAGGCGGAGGCAAGAGACTCGCTTGAGCCCAGGAGTTGGAGGTTGCTGTGAGCTATAATGCCACGGCACTCTACCCAGGGGGACAGCTTGAGGCTCTGTCTCAAAAAAAAAAAAATAAGAAAGAAAATTATGAAAGTAAACAGAGGGATGATATGGCCACAACTTTGCCCAAGTGATGTGCTGTGTGTTTGTTGTATTTCTTGCAGCAGGAACAGGGCTGAGCTTGTGTTTCTTAAGCCTGAGTGGCCTTCAGGCTCTCTATGGGGAGCGATTCTCATGGGACCCGGTCCTCCTGCCTTTCTCCAGCCCACCCTGGTTTTCCCTCTCTGCCCCACCAGGACCCAGTGTGTGCCTTCTGCCCTCCTATGCTGTCCTGAGCAATGGCAGCAGTGCCTTGGCCTCAGGGTGCACATGCGCAGTTGTGGACACTGACGTGTCCAGAGTGCACAGCCCTGGCCGTGAGCTGGCTGCCCAGATGCTACAGACCACCCCTACATGTATTTTCTTACGATTGCCTTCTAAATAAAAACAAGGTTAAAAGTACACTCCAGACAGTGCTTTCCCCCTTGGACTAACCATATCTGTGAGCCCTGGTGGATAAAACAGTCTGTCATGGGAAAAGTCTTTTACTTAATTATATTGTCTATTGTTTTCCTGTATATCTTGAACCTCTCTGGAATTAATTTTGAAGTGATATCTTCAGCTGCTTCCCTGGCATGCCCCAGTAACACGTGGCTTTGATTATTTACCTAGATTTTGAAGATCTCTTTGATGATGATGATATCCAGTGAGGTGCTGTCCAGCTGCTGGCACGGCCACACCTCTGCCACCGAGCAGTACAGTGGATGCTCTCAAAGGACAGTCTCAAATGGCTGCAGAGAACTTGTGGACATCACTTGGAATCGGGCGGGGTAACCAAGAGAGAGAAGAGCGGTCTTAACCATGTCCATGATGCTGTTAACCTCTAAATATGACTGGCTTTTGTCCTTCAATTAAAGAAAGCTATATCGTGATGTACAGAGTAGTTTTAATTCTTCTATTTCTGAGTGACTCTTAACAGTTCCTAAAGTCTAGAAAATGACATAAAGGCTATGTTAACCAATTTTCATAAAAATATTTCAAATTGTATATGAAAATACCACATGTACCCCATGATTGCATTAATATACACAGCTATCATTTAATAAAGAAAAACAAAACAGTCCCTAAAGTCTGTGTGCACACGTGAGAGAGCCTGAGAGAGCTGTGCTTGTCAGCCCAGTGGTCTGCACACGTGCGTGTCAGCACGCCAAGCCCTGTCCATGGGCAGTGCTGGGTAGCTGCCATTTCAGGTGGCATGAGTTAGAGCAGTGGGCGTTACAGCCAAACCCTGAGGACTTTGTGGTGAGGCCTCACCTTGCGCTGTGTAGGCAGGTGGGCATTGCCCCTTCAACTGTAGCCTCGTGTCTACTCGGCCACTGTCACCCACCCAGACCTAAGGAACCAGGATGACAGGATGATGATTTTGAGATGGCTTTCACATGAGAGAGGTGTGCTTGTCCATTTCAGAGGAGACTATAGCGTCTGTGGTGGAAAGCTTTGTTTACTTTTCAGATTTCTTATTGATTTGCCTGATTAATAATGGCTGAAAAAAATTAAAATTTCCATTCATATCCCCCACAAGAGAAGGGTGTTTTTCACACCAAGAAATGCCCAGGCCCCACTGCTCCTACAGTCCCCATCCTCAGCAGACAGGTGGGGACTGCTACCTCCACCCAGAGAGCTCACACAGAGGTGTCAACTGGATGTGTTTCCAGGAGATACATTTTCAGAGGCAGGTGACATTGTATTAAGAGCAATGTCAGTTCTGCCTCATTTTCTTGGGAGTGCTGTGCGAATTTCTGACCTGATACTTCTTTATTTTTTTGAGATAGTTGCCAAGTTGCCTTTGGTAGAGTGCTGTGACATCACTGCTCACAGCAACCTCAAACTCTTGGGCTTAAGTGATTCTCTTGTCCAAGCCTCCCAAGTAGCTGGAACCCCAGGTGCCCGCCACAACACCCAGCTATTTTTTTGTTGTTGTAGTTGTTTGGCAGGCCTGGCCAGGTTTGAACCCACCAGCCCTGGTGCTTGTGGCTGCCCTAGCCACTGAGCTGCAGGTGCTGAGCCCCACCTGATAACTTCGGCAGTACTCCTCTCCTTTGCTGGTGCTCAGCAGCCAATGGCCACTGAGACCAGCCAGCCATCCAGCTTGGCTTCCTGAGCTGCCATGAGGGCAGGTGCAACTCAGTGACTGGGAGAGGACAGAGCAGGGTGAACGCTGACTGTTGTGTTCAAGCTCTGCACGGGGCTGGCAGTCAAGACTGTGGCTCTGTGTCTGAGATGCGCCTCAGGTCTGTGTGCCAGAATAGCAGGATTCCAGCAGCAAAGGGTGAGGTCTGTGCCCTCAAGGGCAGGGTTTCTCCGCTTGACTTCACTGTGGTTCATTCCCTGGAGGAGATTCTACTAAGTGGATTCCTTAGAATTAGCATACAGGGTTCTGTGGGAAACAGCCAGGTACTTGGTGAACCCTTTACTGACCAAGTGGTTACTCTGCACTTAGTCAGCAGCCGAGGACTGCAGTAGCCTAGTGGCAACAGGCTCACCCCAGGTGCCACACTGGGTCCTGCGAATCAGTCTTCTCTTCAGCTTCCCTTGCCTGAGTGAGCCAGGATGTCAGCCTCCAAGTCACCTTCTAGGTCTCAGGTTTCTGGTCTCCAGCAGGAAGGACGTGTAGGGCAACATGGTGGCACAGTGGGCCTGGAGCGGGCTGTGCACCCTCAGAGGCCTCCCTGCTGGTGCTGGGATTGCAGACTTGTCCTGGCAGCCTGTGCACATCCAGGTGTGTGTGTGAGTGGCGTCCTCTACACTTCCGCAGGCCTGTGTGAGCCCCATGGTGCCTCCCTCTGCCACCCAGTTCGTGCAGCTTCCTCAATGCCATGAGGCCAAGAGACAGAGTCTCCACCTTTTTTCTCCATGATCTCCCTGGGACAAAGCCACCACCTTTAGGCCATCAGGAGGACAGTAACTGTGGGTGGCTGTCAGACCCAGGCTGACTCCCTGGGCAGACCTCTAGCCATTGTCAGTAATATGTCTTTACTTACCCTGACAAAGAGACATTAACTGAAAAGAATGATGAGGCTGGTGATCTCATCATGAAGGAGAACTTCATTCCTCATCCAGGGTTTACAGCCTGCAGCGGCCATTCTGGCTCCCGGCCACAAGGCAGGAGCATGTGCTTCAAGGGCACAAGATGGGAACAGGATTTCAAATTGAGCGCGGTGGCTAAATGTGTACACAGCAGAGCCTCCGTATCTCTCTGACCACTTCCCCTCACTCACCACCCCTCGGGTTGACCTAACTTTCACTGACTGGACATGACCACGTGTATATGTCAGCACAGTAGTAGTCCTAGTTCTTCAATGGTGACCATCTCCACATGGTGGCCAGCTTGTTACATCCACTGGGTGTCACCTTACAGAGAGGCTCTACTGTATCTTACAAACTGAGAGGAGTGGAGAATACTTATGAAAAGAGAACTCCGCACCTGTGTAGGGGGCTGCCCTTCCCTCTAGGGGGTCCATGCTTAAAAATGGACGCTCCCATGTCAGATAGGTGAACAGGGCATGAAGGCCTCTCTGCAGGTGTCCATAGTGTTAAAGTCACTTGTGGTTGGCAGTCTCATGTGGTTCACTAAGAAAGTCTTGAGTGGTCCCCTGTTTCACTTCCAATAACACAGTTGACAGCATCCTTTTTTTTTTCTGAGATAGTGTCTCACTCTGTGCCCTGAGCAGAGTGCTGTGGGGTCATAGCTCACAGCAACCTTAAACTCCTGGGCTCAAGAGATCCTCTTGCTTTAGCCTCCCGAGTAACTGGGAGCACAGGTGCCCTCCACAATGACTGACTAATTTTTCAATTTTTAGTAGAGACAGAGTCTCACTCTTGCTCAGGCTGGTCTTGACCTCCTGAACTCAAGCCGTCCCACCTTAGCCTCCCAGAGTGCTGGGATTACAGGTGGGAGCCACAGTGCCTGGCTGCCGGCGTCCTTCTGATTCACCTGTGCAGGTTCCAACTGCTCGGCTCACAGGTCTCGCTGAGAGGGCTCCGTTTGCTTCTGTCCACACATTTTACATTTCTTGATTTGTGCATGTTTCAAAACTTTCATAATGACCCATACATCAGGAAAGAATGTGGGTCTGGCCCTTAGTATGAAAAGCCTAATGGCCATTAGCAGGAGTGTCTAACCTCCCGTCAGGAAGAACTCAGTTTTAAGCTTTCTCTGGGGTCCTCCAGACTGTCAGGAGGTGCTTAGGACTTTATGTTTAGTTCACAGATATGGATTTTCTCTTTTTTGTACCTGCCACATTTCTAAAGTCTGCTTTGGAAACAGTTATGTCTCTGGTGACCTCAGGCTCGGCTGCCAGCCAGGCTGTCGAACCTCAGAGACCCAAGCGAGTCTGGCCAGTGCCTCCTGCCGCTTGGGGATGGTCAGCTGGTGTGGGTGAGGACGGGAGGCCCCCAGGGGCTTGGAGAAGCCTCTCCCATAAGAAAAGAAGGAAGCTTTGTGCATTAACTTCCCTGGAAGTGAAAGGAGTTTGTTGGAAGCATTACAAGGAATGGCCTAGGGCCCAAGGATGCCTGGACTTAACCACCTCCTGCCTGTTGCTCTGCCAGCTGGCCTCTTCAGCCCAGATCATCTTTCTCCACAGCAGAAAACACGGTTCTGGCAGTTTCTACACCACCCTCGGGGGCTGTGTGTGCCACAGGCACGTGGGGAGACTCTGCCCTGCCTTCCATGCGGCAGCCCCCCTGCACCCTCAGAGTGTGGAAGGACCTATCCTGCAGGGGCAGGGGTGCTGTGGAGGACCACCACACAGTGGCTGTGGTGACTTACGTAGAGAGTGTTTCCTGCTAACGTTAAGTGTTTTGGGGGGTCCTTGAAACTTGAAGTGAGGATACTGATGACAGGGAGCCCTCCCTGAACGGTGTGAAGCCCAAGGGGTGGGAATATGGGGTTTGGTTCAGGAGGCTTTCAGTTGGGAGGTAAATGAAGATGAAAGTTGCTCTGATACTTCAAGGACTTTGGAAGGAAGTGGCTCCTTCCCTGCCCTCTGGCTTCTGCTCCCTGCTGGGCAGAGGCAGCCTTTGTGCCTGCCATGGTGCCAGGAGCAGGAGGCTGGAGCCCTTCCTCAGGCACCAGGAAACTTCCCAGTTAGGAGGTGAGCCTCTGAGTCCTTAGACTGACACGGGAAACATGGGTGCTTTTAAAGTCAGCCACATTTTTAGAAAAGGGACAGTATTGACTTTAGAACTTTCACTGCTGTGATTACTGCTGGGAGCCACCATGAGCAAACCTGAGGAGAGGCTGCTCCGATGAAAAGCCCCTTTGTCCCTCAAGAGGCCAAAGCTGGGCCTTCAGGGGCTGGGCCTCTGCTGCGGGGACAGGACCAGTGTCAGGGTTCAGGCCTCCCCATGGACAGGCTCATGAACCTTGAGACAGGCCAGACTGTATCTTCCCAGCATCTAGCTCAGGTCAGTCCCACAGGGTCACAGTCATCCCTGGATCATCTTGGCCACAGCATGTGACAAAAAAAACATGAGCCCCAGAGTGCTGCTCCTAAGGTGACTTTAATGGCATTTCATGGTTACTGGGCAACTTTGGGACAGTGGGTGGCCTGTGTCAGAGATGACCATGCCCTCAAGGTGCAGCCACAGGAAAGCCAGGAACAGTGGCCTGACCCACATGGTGCCTGTGCTTAGGGACAGCCTGGACCCTCTGTCCCAGCATCAGGCAGAGTGTCCAACACACAGCAGGTGCTTGATGTCTGTGGCGTGTAAACAATAGTGTGTCTGATGTCCAGGGTCCTTCTGGAGAGGACAGAAAGCTGCCCAGTGAGGTGCTGTGCCTGCATTCTGGCTCCCCCGGGGCTCTGCGTCCTCACGTGGTGGGAGGCCAGGGGTCTCACAGGCCCCTTTCTAAGGCACAAGTCCCCTTT